TCGTCAGCTGGCGGGGTCCCCCTCGGCCACCTGGGCAGGCGGTGCTCCTAACCTCGGCGTGCCAAAGGTGGAGGAGTAAGTGCACTTTACGGGAGAGCAAAGCGGAACGGGGAGCTGACTGCCCGATCAGGTACGTGTTCGGCCAGATTTCGGTAAGGACCCAAGAGAAACGCTGCTTCGGTTGTTTCTATAGGAACGATGTTTGCGTACGTGCGATGAAAGCGAGCCTCGGCTCCACCGGCACACCCGGCCTGGGAAACACGGAGCTCTTGTCTGTGAAAGGAATCTGTCTTTATTTTGCATCAGTCCTGTAGGTGAGACAAAAGTATTTTAAGCTGTTGAATGCGTAGGCAAACTCCCGCTCTCTTTAAAAACACAAGAGGCTGGATCCAGTCTGGTTGAACAACGGTATTTTTCAAATAATCTTACGGAGGCAAGGAAGTTGCTATTATTTAGTCAGTAATGGGGAGTAAAACCCTGGGCTCAGCCTTCCGTCACACAGCAGGACGTAGGCCAGAGGGAGCTGTGCTGGTGTTAGGAACTTGCTTCCCAAAAACGGGGAAATGCTTGCAGGCTAACCAAAACCCAACCGCACATTGATCTCAACCAGCAACAGAGAACTCGTTCACGTGGAAGCTACAAGCTAATCCTCCGGGGACCTGGACACTATTTCTGGACGTGAAACGTGCAATAGGAACGTGCAATACTTAAATGTAATAAAAACGACGCCTACAGACCAACCTTTTGAAAACTGTATTTTATTAAATATACAAAAGCTAAGCACTCCTTGTAGAAAATGGTATCTTCATCTCGCACGGTAACGCTGGTTAGTTTCCTGCACCACTGGTAAAGCAGCGTCCAACGCTTGTCTTTCTCCCCAGGGGAGCACAATTCTTCATTGACGGCGCAAAAGCTGGTGTTGGCGAGCAGCAGCAGGACCGCGCGGTACCGCTAACGCACGCCAGCTGCATGCACGAGACCACTCGCGCTTCCCATCGCCTTTCACTCGCTCCCGCTGCTGTTACCAGAGGAACCGAGCACGAGACTGGACCGACAACATTCAAATACCAGAAGAATGAAAAGAATTAAAGGCTAATAAAGTAATTCCTGCTTCTCAAAACATTTATAACTCCGATCTCTATTTCAGTACCCTTTGCAGCAAACATTTGCTCCTATGTACATCAAGTTAAGCTCCTTTGGCACGGGGACCACATTGTTCCTGACGGTCAGAACTGGATTTCATAAATGACGACATTATTTTTGTACTGCGATGTGTATACTTACAGAAAAACCCCACTGTGGTGTAGGGAGGGCACGTCTGGAAGGCAGAGGCTAGCTAGGTGGAGAGAGACTTCAAAACAGTACAAGGCACTCGCTGATCTCAAGTACTGGTTACAGCAGAAATACGTAAACATGAACCATCACAACACTACAAGAAGGCGTTCCTCTAACACGATATAAAGCTCAAGATTCAGGCTACTAAAGTCTATGAAATCTAATCAGGCAAAAATGCTTTCATTATTTAATTTCACGGAGTACGTTCATTGTCCTTACTGAGTGAAATTCAAGAGAGAAACAGTATACACAGCAAAAAAACCCCAAATATTTTAAAGAATATACATTCAATTATGAAAGTTAATTCTGTTTCAAGGCAGCAGGTCTGATTTGGAAAGGTTAGCGACCTCCGAGCATCCCCTTAAATAAGTGCAATTCAAAGTTAAATTTTTGAAATAGTTAGGCAATTGTAGAGTCCACGCTACCAGTTTCGATGCTTAACCAAGAACAACTCCAGGTAAAAAGTTGGGGGAAATCAAGGCTGTCTGACAGATCTGCCCTACCTCAGAGCGCTGCTAACCTGGCCGCTCGTTATTTCAAGTTCCTTCGAAAATCCTCAGTCCAAAAGCATCTATTTTATGTAAGGATTGTGTGAAATGCGATTAAGCTGTGTTTTTCCTTCGAACGCACACACCTCCACATGCGTCAGCCGAAGAAGCGTACGTGACTGTGCGCCTAAGAAGAGGCAGCAGAGAGAGGGTTTGTCAGGGACAGGTACGTGTGCGTATTTCCTACGGACACCTATGGCGGTCCGTGGGATAAAGGTGGCGCTTGCTCCATAATACACGAGGCGCCCCACCTGCCAGCGAGGACTCGCCAGTTCGCCAATCAGGGGAATTAGTACAAGGCAAGAGGCACAAATCTGCGTGTTCACTGACTTACAATCAATACAGACACTCCAAAACGCTTTTTTCCCCCAAAGCCAAGGGGCTTTTGACTTCCTACAAGCAGCAGCCTATAGTCAGATTTTTCATGGAGAACGCGTATCAACAACCACGTTCAAGCCCTCCCCCCCCCGGCTCCTGGCGCACGCTGCTGAGCTGCGATACGCTGTAAGCACGCGGCAGTGACCGGGATGGAAAGGCACTTGAAAAGTTTCTAACCAGCATTCAGCGCAAAAGCCGCCCGCCTCCTTCTCACTGCTGCTTCTTTGGTGGAACGCGAGATTTGGCAACCACAATCGGAATGACAGAGAGCAACCCGATCAGCAAAGCCCAGAGAGGGCGGTAGAAGAGCCAGCCAACGGAGATGGTCAGGAGCGACAGCGAACTGGCGACGCAGAAGGCAAAGGCTTTTAATCCAATGTTAACCAGATCTCTCACAACAGGAAACCAGTCCACTGCAGAAAGAATTAAACAAGGGATAAAGCAGTTGACAAGACGATAGTTTAAAAGGAAGTCTTATTCACGCCTAGGATTTGCACACTAACTATTGCAATCACAAGACAGACTCAAATTATTTATCAAGAGCACTGGGTGAGGCATTTCAGCACAGTATCCTCAAGGCACGTGACAATTAAACAACAGCTAAACATCTGAGGCAATGGTATCCTCGTCTCTTCAGACAAGAAGTCATCCAAAATGAAGGCTGAAGTCTTGTCCGAGGCTCGAGAGGCAGAGGAGACTGATAGCCTTGCAGCTATGGAACAAGCCTAGGGCCACTGATACAATATGCTAGCACAAAAATTAATTTCTGGCAACACTAAATCTTGCAGTAGCATGTATATGGCTAAGTAAATAAGG